CGAAATTTCTCATTTTATTAAAGCACTGAGGTTACGACAACTTCGAGTTAAACTGATTTCACGGGTTGTCAAAGAGTCCAGCGATTCCTTTTTCCCAGGTGAGCGCCGACTCATTTCGCTTCAATATTCAGGAATGCTCTCGATCTTTTTACGCTTTCATTGCCTCTCGCCCGACATGTTTTGCACGGCGTTTGGTCATGCGAAACCTCCACGAAACATCCACGCCTCGCGCGAGGTAACTTTATCCCGATTCTAAAAATAACTCGAGACGAATTACCTATGGAATAGGGTGTATATGGGTGATGCCCTCTCTGTCCCCTTTCTAGTCTCTTGCTGTAATGCATTATTATACGGCCTACCTAAGTATCAGTTACAAAGATTGCAGTATGTACAAAACACGGCGGCTAGAGTTGTGTTGCAAGTAAGTAAGTTTCAGCATATCACACCTGTTTTGTGTGATCTTCACTGGCTACCGATTCAATATCGCATTATTTTCAAGATTCTGCTCCTCGTGTATAAATCACTGAATGGGACATCGCCTAGCTATTTAGCTCAGAAACTACATTATCGTTCTCATACTATATCATTGAGGTCTGTTAGTAATGAACTTTTAATGCAACCTAGATCGTATACCAAGACCTACGGAGATAGAGCATTCGCTGTTCATGCACCAAGAGAATGGAACTTAATACCCTACGAAATTCGGAAGTCCAACACCATCTCGAGTTTTAAAAGATCACTTAAGACGTACTTGTTTACTAAATTTTAGTAATAACGGATTATTGTTTTTATAGATTTGTATATATTGCGTTAGTTTTAATTTTTCCCTTTTTTTTTTCATCATTATGAATATGGTTTAATAGTTGCTTTAATTTAATTTTTTCCTTTTTTACCCATCGTAAATATAATAGGATATGCTTGTAAATTTGTAAATATTTTTCAATAATGACTGTAAAGCGCCTTGAACATAGGATAAGAGCGCTATAGAAATAAAGTTATTATTATTATTATTATTATTATTATTATTATTATTAAGCTGATGGAATTCACATCAACTTACTCAAGCAGGTCCATAAGATGCCTGATAAAGTCCCCTTGGCCAAGAAGAAGATACAATCGCAATGCCTATCAAATTAAATAAATATATAAACAAATTAATAATTAACAGTGATGGGTATTCCCATTGGTAGATAATCTATTTAGATTTAGAATTAATAAATTAACAGATAAATAAATTAATAGATGAAAATAATGAATAAAATAGAGAAGTAGTCAAGAATAAGATTGCTTCTTTGGACAAACAGACAGCTCTACTTAATATTTAACATGACTGCGAGTCTACTCAAGCGTCAGATTCGGAGATAGCGCAGAAGAGAATACCAGAAGAATAGAAGGTAAAATCAACATAGAAGATTTTATGAACTATCTGAGAGGTGAAGCACTCTTTATCATTGTGACAAATAATCAAGAGGGGTTGATCCAAGAACTATAATCTCTGACTCACCACCACCACCACCACCAACACCACAACAACAACACTGAAAAAATAATTGAAGAATGGTCTCAAGACATTTCTTACCCTCAAATGATCAAGGAACTTGTATTTAGAGAAGAAAATCTCCAGCAGCCTCTTGCTTGTTTCTCTATAGGCTATATCGACTGTTTCTTGAAGAGCTGTTCCTCCAAACTCTTCATCAGCTGTTAACTGAGCTGCAGCTGAAAAATTATAATAAATGGATCATATTAACAAATCGAAAATACTTTTCCAGGGGTCTGTACTGTAAACTTACCAACTGTTTCCACCTGCAATTTTGAGATGCAACAAGTTCATCTCTATTATTGCATGGCACGTACACCCATGTTTCTGCTGCTAAAATGGTCAACTGTTGATTATAAAAATTATTGTTGCTCTCTTGGGGACACAGTCCATGAGTAAATAAGTTTGTATGGCTATGCATTGACAAACTAAAACAGGTTTAGGAACTGTCTTCTACATTTTACCTGATGCCTCCTGTGACTTGTTATAATCTAATGCCTTCTCCTCTCCTCCTCTGATGGGTTACGATCTTGACAAACATGTCGAATAAAGTTGATGGATTTTCCAATGTTTAAAATCTGTTAAAAATTTTACACCAAAACTAAAATCATTTCAAGAAAAGCAAACACAAGCAACAACATTCTCCACAGAAAAAAATAAGTTCAATGTGATAACTTTACGATTTATATGGTTTTAACTAGCTTTTAAAATCATTTTCTCAGTTTTTGCCCGTGAAATTTGAAGGTGTTGCCTAATTAATATACTTGGAGAAGGACAATTATCACTACTCATCAAAAAGAAAAGTGGCTTTTTGGGTTTCCATATTTCTTTTTGTTTATGTGCAATCAGAAACAAAATTGTTGAGACATTATGCTAAAGTAGGGTAACTTTCAGGGAACAAAGTTGGGGTGTTTTTTGTATCCTGCAGGTAGCTCGAACAGTGCCACACAACATTGCATGGAGGGGATGGGGAAGGAGAAGCTTTATTATAAAATCTTAAAGTTGGCAAAACGTCAAAAAGCCCCGTTTGGGCTAAAATGTCTCGACTAATTGTGTCACCGGTTGTGGTTTGCTGTGTTGGTTCATTCGTGTAAAGATGCAGTTTTAAAAATCGGTCGCAAGGACATCCATACTTCATGTACATGTACAGCTGTAGTTACTATGAAAATGAGGAACTAGCCAAAACAACCCATTACGACCCACAACGACCCACACTGATCAACACAAAGATTCAAAACAACCAACACTGAACAACAAAAGACTCACAACAACCCAAAATCAATTTTATATGACGTTTCCAGGAAGACAGGACGTGTTTTGTCTCATTTTGGGTCGTTGTCCAGGGTTCTCAAAATGCGCCGGCAACCGGCGTTATCACCGGCTCCTCTAAGGCTTTCGCCGAATGTAACCTGGGAAAACCGTATCCCTACTGATATGCGTTCTCCTGCCTGGAAAACAAATATCCCTAGTGATAGGTGTTCCCCCACCTGCGAAACACATATTCCTACTTATATGTGTTCCCTCACCTGAGAAAACTTCTCCCTAGTGATATGTGTTCCCTATCTGGCAAACATTATCCCTAACGATATGTCTTCCCCAACCTGGGAAACACGCATCCCTAGTGATTTGTGTTCCCCCACGTGGAAAACACATATCCCTCGTGATATGTGTTCCCCCACCTGGGAAACACGTATCACTAGTAATATGTGTTCCCCTCCATGGAAAAAAACATATCCGTAGGGATCTGTGTTCCCCTACCTGGGAAACACATATCCCTAGTGATATGTTTTTTCCCTACCTGGGAAACACATATCCCCAGTGATACGTCTTCCCCCACCTGGAAACACGTATCCCTAGTAATATGTGTTCCCCCACCTGGGAAACACGTATCCCTAGTGATATTTATTCCCCCACCTGGAAAACCCGTATCCCTAGTAATATGTGTTCCCCCACCTGGGAAACACGTATCCCCAGTGATATGTGTTCCCCAACCTGGGAAACACATATCCCTAGTGATATGTGTTCTCCTAACTGGGAAGCACATATAACTAGTGATATGTGTTCCCCCACCTGGAAAACACGTATCCCTAGTAATATGTGTTCCCCTAGCTGGGAAACACATATCCCTAGTAATATCTGTTCAACCACCTGGGAAACCTGTATCTCTAGTAATATGTGTTCCCCCACCTGGTAAAAACGTGTCCCTAGTGATATGTGTTCCCCCACCTGGGAAACACATATCCCTAGTGATATGTGTTTACCTACCTGGGAAACACATATCCCTAGTGTTACGTGTTCCCCCACCTGGGTAACACAAATCCCTAGTGATATGTCTTCAACCACATGGGAAACCCGTATCCCTAGTGATATGTGTTCCCCAACCTGGTGAAAACTTGTACCTAGTGATATGTGTTCCCCCACCTGGGAAACACATATCCCTAGTGATATGTGTTCCCATACCTGGGAAACACAAATCCCTAGTGATATGTGTTCCCCCACCTGGGAAACACGTATCCCTAGTGATATGTGTTCCCCCACCTGGTAAAAACTTGTACCTAGTGATATGATCTAAATATCAGATCTCAGAGGAGCTTTATCATTTCCTAAAGGATCATAAAATATTAAGAACCCGTGGAATTCGGGGTGGAATATCTGCACGTCAAAGGTACAACCAAATTTCCATCCCCAGTCAAGGTTCTTTTAGGCGTAATTATTCATCCAGAGGTGTAAATGGGAATAATTTACGCTTCGTCGAATGTGTAAATCAAAGGCCTGCAGAACAACCTAGTACATCGAAATTCTTGAAGTCCAAACTCCAAATTGCGCATCTAAACGTAACATCAGTGAAGGAGAGGAATCATTTAATTCAGCTCAGACAACATATGCGCGAAAAGAATTACGATGTCCTCGCTATTTCTGAGTCATGGCTTAATTCAAGAACTACCAATGCAAAGGTCGAGATGGCACATATATACATATCCCTTGTGATATGTGTTCCCCCACCTAGGAAACACGTATCCCTAGTGATATGTGTTCCCCCACCTGAGAAACACATATCCCTAGTGATATGTGTTTCCCCACCTGGAAAACACGTATCCCTAGTGATATGTGTTCCCCCACCTGGTAAAAACTTGTACCTAGTGATATGTGTTCCACCACCTGGGAAACACATATCCCTAGTGATATGTGTTCCCCCACCTGGGAAACACATATCCCCAGTGATATGTGTTCCCCCACCTGGAAAACACGTATCCCTAGTGATATGTGTTCCCCCACCTGGGAACACGTATCCCTATTGATATGTGTTCCCCCACCTGGGAAACACATATCCCTAGTGATATGTGTTCCCCCACCTGGGAAACACATATCCCTAGTGATATGTGTTCCTCCACCTGGGAAACACATATCCCTAGTGATATGTGTTCCTCCACCTGGGAAACACGTATCCCTAGTGATATGTGTTCCCCCACCTGGGAAACACGTATCCCTAGTGATATGTGTTCCCCCACGTGGGAAAGACATATCCCTAGTGATATGTGTTCCCGCACCTGGGAAACACGTATCTCAGTGATATGTGTTCCCCCACCTAAGAAACACATATCGCTAGTGATATGTTTCTCCCACCTGCGAAATACGTATTCCTAGTGATATGTGTTCCCCCACCTGGGAAACACGTATCCCTAGTGATATGTGTTTCCCTACCTGGGAAACACGCATCCCTAGTCATATGTGTTCCCCCACCCGGGAAACACGTATCCCTAGTGATATGTGTTCCCCCACCTGGGAAACACATATCCCTAGTGATATGTGTTTCCCTACCTAGGAAACACATATCCCTAGTGATATGTGTTCCCGTACCTGGGAAACACATATCCCTACTGATATGTGTTCCCCCATCTAGGAAACACATATCCCTAGTGATATGTGTTCCCCTACTTGGGAAACACATATCCCTAGTGATATGTGTTCCCCCAGCTGGGAAACACGTATCCCTAGTGATATGTGTTCCCCCAGCTGGGAAACACAAATCCCTAGTGATATGTGTTCCCCTAACTGGGAAACACATATCCCTAGTGACATGTGTTTCCCCACCTGGGAAACACGTATTCATAGTGACATGTGTTCCCCCACCTGGGAAACACGTATTCATAGTGATATGTGTTCCTCTACTTGGGAAAGATATATCCGTAGTGATATGTGTTCCCCTACCTGGGAAACACGTATTCTTGGTGATATAAAATTAATAAAAACATTCCTGGTTGTGGGACTTTGTCCTGGTCATTGTGGGTCACTTTGGGGTGTTGTGGGTCGTTTTGGCTAGTTCCCTGTTTTAGTAACTATGCCATAATTCCTCACAGGCTACACTGGACATGTATGGGTTTCATAAGACCTTTTTCTGGCTAAGGTATAGAGGAAATCAGCACTGTCATATGAATCCACAACAGTCTATCTATCTACTATTAGTGATACCTTAGTGCCAAGTTCCATGGAGATGAATGATGGCAGCATGGGTTTCCTGATACTGTATTTCTCATACCACAGACGATCATATTTAGTGTCATAATCCACTGCAACAAAAAACTGCAAGACAAAGTTTAACATATAAACAGGAAAGATTAATACCAGTAGAAATGGGCTTTTACATGTGAATCCATCTGTAACAAAAAAGTTTAGTGATGGAAAGATATGTTGCCTTGCATGTCAAAATAATATACCAATAAGTAAGGTAAGGTGTTGTTACAAAAAAGGCTATAAGCTGATGAGATGATTTACCAACAAATAGTTGCATGCACTGCCCTGTAATATGAACACGTTAATTAACTATAACATACAAGGTGTAGCTGGGTAACCAACCCAAGAAGGCAAAGAAATCCTTTCGAGTAGCTTTTACATAATGACCTTACCTCATTGTACAAATCATCAAGTTCTCCTTCATAAATCCATCTATCAAGAATGACACGGATTGGACGAGCAACCTGTAATAGGAAATTACAGTTACCAGCGCCGTACAAATGACTTATTGACGAGATCAAGCAAAACTAACTACTAGAGAATGACTGGAGAACTGACAATTTGACTAACAACAGACGACTGTTTAACTGTGACGATAGACGGATCAAAATGCACCAATTACTGAGTACAAGCCTTCAAAGCCAATATCATCACGGCTTAACTGACAGACGACCAATAACATCACGACGTAATTGACCAATCAGATCAATAACCAGAGTATAATACCATCAACTGACGTGATACAACTCACTTTGACTCTGAAGATAACTACCGCACAGGTTGTCGAAACGTCAGTCACTGTCAACAACAACAGTCCTATTCAGGACTACATTCACATCAAACTCAACCTACTTTTGAAATGACTCCTGGGTTCAAACCTTTCACAGTATGATAAAAGTAATAATGATAATGAAATAATTATAACAGTAATAATAACGTCTCACTTCAAATGGTTGAACGTCCCATTACCACCAATTCAAAATGCAAAGATTTGATGATTGCTTACAGGAGGTGCTTACTTATGAAAGATTCCAAATTTAAACAAAAAGTTAGTAACTTTCACTGAGAAAATTTTGGTATTTTAGAAAAAAAATTTGCTTGCCTCTTACACTGGCCTACCAACCCCCCTTTTTAATTTCACTAACATTAATGTTACCCTGGCAAATGTTGCTTGGCTATCAGACAACTTGTAATATTATTATCATTTAATGAGAGCCTGATGGGTAATTCCTTTAGCCCTGGTATATCGGACAGCACTTTTGCCACTAGCAGTCCTTACCAGATTAAGAATATGCCTGACAAGAGACTTGACAAAGGGATCCCCATGCTGCATGTTAGAATGAAGAGCAGACAACAAAGCTCCTCCTTTCTTTCCTGTATTAAAAAGACAATTATTAATCAATACATTTGACATTAACAAAACCATTTAAACCCATAAGGATGACAAGAATCTAACCCTTCCTAAGTTATATTATCATAGTACTTGTTAATTAAAGATAATGGTCTCAAGAATAACAGAAAAGATCATCAACTAACAAATCCTAATTTTTCACTTTTTTTTATTAATTTTTTTTTGTCTATTGCATTGAATTATTAATTTTTTGGACCTTGTTTTTCTCAAGGGCACTGTAACAAGCCATAGTTCTTAGGCTCCTAGAGGTAAAATAAATAACATATATGTCTCTGTCTGTGTCTAAGTTCTAATTGTTGAACAAATTCTCCTCACCAGTACCTCAGAAAATGAATACATATGGAGTATGGAGAATATGGATGTAGATATAAGGGTTCAAATGGTTAACCAGTGGATCAGTACCTAGAGGAATTTAAAGATTAAGTTTTGGGCCTGTGAATATTTTCAAACATTGTTGTGCATGTGTATTTGCGAAAATTCTCTGCACTAAACCAAAACTGTTTTGACTACTACTCTTAGCCTCAGAAAGCATGCCCTCCACATAAGATTTGTATAGGTAATAGCATGATTTGTAGTGATATTTGGCATAAATACCATGAGTGATATTTCGAAATTGTTGTAAGTAAATTCACGAGCTGTTAGGCGAGTGAAATTTGAGACAATTTTGAAATATCACCAGTGGTATTTATTCCAAATATCACCTACAAATCACGCTATTATTTGTTTATACTACTACCGGCAAAAGGTTAAACTTTGTAATTTTCACATTTACGTAGGCTAAAAGAACGTAATCAAATGCAACCGCTCTTCAAATTAAGCTGGAATACCACTGCTCTAAGCCAATCAGATTGCAGAAATTTCCCATGTAGTAGTATAAAAAGTATAAAAACACTTACAAAATGTACTAGAACCATTGTCCATGTCATTTTGACAATTCACTGCACTGTCACAATTATTTCTTCCCTCTGATAGAAGTCCAAGTCCCAAATTCACAATTTCTTCTTTCCACCCACAGTATTGTGCTATTGAGTAATCACTGTACCTTTGCAGGCATCAACCAATGCAGCAAGGGTCCTTAACCTCATCATTGGGTCATATGTCCACACCATCAATCTACGTAGTGTCAAACTTCCACTTGCTCCCTCTCCAACAATTCCTGCATCACCAACTTGATGTTGGCCTTCCAGCACAGCTAACAGCCTGTAATATTCAGTGAGCTCCTGCTGCAGAGCAGCGCAAAAGCTCTGTCCTACCAATCCCATTGCCTTGTCTCCTGTGGGTAGAAATAATGTTGCAGAGGGCCTGTGAGGGTGAAACTCCAACAGCGAAGAAGACAAGTGCAAATACAATACATGTACATATTTTAACTTTGGTGCTCCTGGGCCGAGTTGTTCAAAGCTGGGTTAAGATAACCCAGGGTTAGTTCGAAATTTGAATTCAGATATGAAAGCTTAAAAAGCAAATTCAGTTTAATTCTTTTTGTTAACAGTTTGATGATCGGCTACTCTAAAAAGAATAGAGAAAATTGTCCGAGAAAATGCTTTTGATGAAAAGAAAAGAGACCCGGGTTAAAATTTAACCCCGGGTTAGCGCTAATCGGCCTTCGAACAACTGGGCCCTGGGTGTTACATGTCTAAATAAAGGATTTGATTTGATTTGATTTGAATAGTAAAAATACAAACAGGAACATTGGCCTCATCCTCAAAATGTGAAATGATGGGTCATCAAATTAAGACTAGGGACACAACTGTAACTGTTACAGGTCAAAATTAAATTGAGGTTAAAATTTTTTAAGCTACATGTAGGTTGAATCTCAATTTCTTTTGTCTCCTAGCTCTAATTCACAAAAGCTGTAATAAATTTACCCTGCAAAGAGAGCCTCTTCACACTCTTGACACACTGTACACACAGGGTTTTTAACATATTTGGGATTTTCAGGGGTTATATAGTGTACAAATGTAAAAATTCCATACAAATACCTGCATGTGCATCTAAGTATTTCCGTATTTTGCGATACAGCCAGCCCAGCTCAGCCACCTTGTGAACAAGTTCCCGGACTGGCTTGGGAACTCCAAGTTTGGGATCAATGCGATAGGCATCATTGGCTTGGTCAAACTTGATTACTTTTCCCTCAATTCCTTGGAAGATGTAAATAATATCTCGGAGTAGAGAAGCTTCAGAAATCTCATACGAGGCTGAAAGCAAAAAAGTGTGTTCTACATGATTGTAGTTTTGAGTTAGTATGTAAAATCTACAGCACATACATAATTTTATGCACCTCGTTTACCCAAATTTTTCGCATTTTCCCCCCAAAAAAATTAACGACATAGTTAAACCACTTTTTCACTTGAAATAATTCTTTTAATCTGAAAAATGAGCATAGTAACAGTGTAGAGAAAAAAAAGGAACTAAAACAGGAACATTTTTTACAGTATATTATGCATTTTGTTCATCCAAATATGTAAATGTTAACTTTTAACGTCGTCCTGGGGTACCAGGGCCTCCTATTCCGAGACTTCTTGTGATATTTTTTTTAGCTTTTTTTTCAATCCAACCGACTGACCCAATATCAGGAAACGCATTCGACGCTAAACGAAAAAAAAGGGGATGGCCTTATGGATCAAGATCAAGATTAGTACCATGTGCACTGGCAAGGACCATGATCAAGGGGAAAATTTGGATCTAGTCTATTAGTAACTTACTGTGTGATACAGATCAAGAAAACAACGCTAATAGGCGTAATGTGTAAGGTTGTGGACTAGACGACAACAAGACATGCCCTCTTGATATTCTATATTAACATGTTAACAGTAAGCTCAGACATCAGCATACAAGGGCGCCACTGGCAGCCACTATTAGTACATTTTATTAGGTTACTGTAACCCACCCATAGCCCATGATATATGAATGATGTGTGATGTGTGAAAGGTAGACCACACCCCCGGGAAAACTTCCCCTACTCTTTTGAAACAGTAGTGTGGGTTCTTTTACGTCCACTTTGATTTGACTAATGAAAGAGGGATGAAGGAAACAAAGCCAAAGGCTTAACCTCACTGCCCAATGACAAAATCATCTTAGCTGAGACAAACTCCAGAAAATTGTAGGGAATTTATTACAATAAGCTTCAAAAATTGTACACGAATGGAACAATCATCTAGAAATTTTTAGCTATCCTTAAGTAATAAAACAAAAAAACAGGCAATATTTGCTTCTCTCAACAGATATTTTAAAGAAAACAGCAGTTGGGTACCCAGTCTACCACTTGGGCCTTTATTTCAAGCACCCCATCATTATAACCTTCCTGTGAATGATCAAGAGAAAGAAGATGAAAAACAACAATATTTTCCTCCCCTCTAACTGACCCAGCCATCTCTGCACCATTGAGCAAAGGAAAGTAAACTGACAGAATTTCATGACAGCTTAATATACATGTACTGCCTACAAGGAAGTTTTTATTCATCTGGCACCAGTTGTTTAAAAGGTAAATCTAGTGATCCACTTGATAAATCTCTATCCATTAATCCAGTGGATAATTCCCCTGATACTTATCCACTAGATGACCTTTATACAGTGGAAAACATCGGCTCTTGAAAAACTAAGGCTAGCATGTTTACAGTGTGGTCAAAAGGCCTGTTTACATTTTCTGAAAAGGTACAGTGTAATTGAAGCTTTGTCTGGATTATTGGTATAAAAACTTACTATTCTGTGTGTCATATCCATAACTCATAAATCGCACTGCAGATGGCAATGCTGATGACTGTCCAGAAGTTGGTAACCTGTTTTGGGACACACTTAATGACTGTGCCACAAGTGTAGCCAAGCGAGATCCATCACTTCCTTCCTGCATTAAGACTTCATCAGCAAAATGAACTGATGGTGTTGGCCCATAATTTGGGGCAAATGACGCGGGGGTAGGAGTGGGATCTAAGGATCTGGACGCTACACTGCTGACACCCGAGCTGCTTTCAGTTGCATGAGTCATCGAAAGAACACCAGGCGTGTGACTAGAAGGACGCTGGGATGCCTGTGTAGAAACTGCAGGTGTAGACGTCAGGTATGTAGGTAGCCCTTGACCAAAGAAGGATGCAGCCCCGGCAGCCTAAGAAGAAAGTGACATAAACTTCACCAGCCTGTTGGATCATCACAGTTAGCATAATATGGCAATAAAAAAGTTCCTGCAACTTTTGTCCACTATCACTCTGTGAATTCAGCGTGCAAAGAAAGTAGTGTCCGATAGCCCGGGGCTAGTGGATTTTGCTATCGGGCTAGTGAATTCTGTTATTAACTTGCCCGATGGGCAAGTGAATTTTTTTGAGGAATTCAAATTACAGAAGAACTGTGAAATCAATCTGCTCATCAAAACGTTTTGTGGGCTAGTTGAAATGATATTTGGGCTAGTAAGTGTTAGCTTCAGCTTGCCCGCATGACAAGCTGTAAAAATGGCTTTCTTTGCACCCTGGAATTGCATGTATGGAATTTCTTTTTTTTTGTTAAAGGAAAATTTACAGTAAATAAATACTTTTATTTGTATTAAAGTTGGGTACAGAACATCAAGGTTAAACTCCTTGGTTAAAATGGTTAACATAATTTACATGCGTGATATAACACTGTAACCCACATAATTAATTTTATAAGAACATGATCTTGCTGGGCTAAACAGGTTCTTTTATATTTTTGGGTATTAAAATGGCAAATATCTGCCAGCAGGTTCTTAAACCACCAGTCTCTCACATGCCGGTGTTTACAGTATTTTGTTGGGTAAAACAGGTGGAGGATGAAAGGTTTGGTATATTATAATGGATGGTTTGAGCTGACTATTGTAAGAAAAAGAAAACAGCAGTGTTTTATCCTTGACCTCTCTTTTGTTACTTACCTGACCATGTGAATGATCTGCCCCTGAGCTTTCGCTGACACTCAACAAAAAATAAAGAATTGCCCATCTGTTTTTAAGAACCGGCTGAAATTCAAATATAAATTAAAGAGATTATTGATGTAAATAACAGTTAAAAATACCAGTTTCCTTTGACAAAGAAAATTTTTACTGGTGAAAGCACTCACTCCCACCAATGTGCTCTGGGTTCTGTTAACATAGTATTTGGACTATGTAAAGAATTCATAGCTAAGGGATATGTGGTAGCCTCGTATACACCCAACAGCAAACTCAAAATTAATAGTAGATAAACCTCAACTTTAATTAAGCAGTTTAGTTTTACCCGAGATCTGAATTGGTCATGTTTCCTGTGATTTACTGCTTACCTGTTACACTGTTTTGTAAAGGAAAATTATGATAACTTGCCATAAGTAAGTTTATGATCACTGTTATTATATTGTCAATCATTTCAGTTTTGTTAGTTTAAATGGATTTCATGAGTTTTTGGATATTGATGACCAGTGGCAGGTCCTGACCCCTCTACTCAAAAACCCCACATTTTTAAAATTCAGATAAGCCCGGCATGCCTGATCAATGAAAATCGATCATCGAAAACCAATCAATATAACCAATAAAAATTAATCAATCAATACTGATAATAATCACAATGCAAGTTGTCTTAATAGTATAGATTTTTATCTGCTCAATAATTGAAAATTATGTATTCTTAGCCCAGGGTATAAGCAGATACGTTACGCATCCGTTTGCATGGACTCAAGTCAGTCTTACCAAAGTCTTACATGGGTTTCAACAGATTAGACTTTAAAGGAAGAGAAAAATGACAATAGGTAAGACTTTCAATTACTATAAGTGCCTTGCTTAAACATATCTGAAATCATTAAACGACCACTGACAAGCAATATAATTGATGAAAATTGATACTCAGAGCTCGTTCAATCTTTGATTTTCATCAATTTCCAAAAAGTGAACATCAATCAATTAGTCACTATCGATTAAAATCGGTTACTATAATTGATTTTATTGGTTATCGAATTTCATCGATTGGGCAGGCCGGGGGATAAGACATGGGTTAGGACGTGGTTAGATGAGAAGTAACATACCAAAATTTATTTACAATATATAAAGCTCTTACTTGTGAGGCCAATTTACGATACAACTCAGAGAAGACAGCAATGTCCACCTCTCTTTTCTCCTTGAGTACTATTAGAACAAAACAAACACTTTAAGATTTCCTGTGTTTTCTTTCCTACAGTGTGGTAGTAATGGCTCAGTCAATTCCAAGTTCACCAACTGTTCTAAAACAAAAACTTACATTTCCTTTTTATTCTTTCCACAACTCTGAATTCATCTGTGGCAACCGTTGGAGCAAAGCGACTAAGAGAAACATGAAATTAAGTTGTTGAAATTTTAATTTTTTTAATTTGACTGTTAATAAAGGAATGTACCTACATTGAAGAACAAAACACAGAATACCCCTTTAAAAACTTGCTATATTAAGCTACATAAAGGAGAGGGAAGGAAAATTTATACATGCAATGCATTAGTTTCCTGTTTCAATTAAGTATTAACCCTTAAAGGGGCTGTGTCCTTGGGGGGGTTAAGATTCCCATATAAAAGTGAAAGGGATGCTCACTGTCTTACTTTGGGGGTGTAAATTGCAGATTTCGGTCTCACTCAGGGTGTTTGAGACGGAAAGTCACTATATTTGGCCATTCAGGTATGACTTAGTACTGTGCATGAAGAAATTTACAAAAATGGCCTGACACTGACCACACAGAAATCTCCTTTAGGAGTCAGTTTAAGGCTGAGCCACACCCACATTGGTCTCCCTTAGGGGTTAAATTTGAATTTTCCGATGAGCATCCCCTTCACTTTTATATGGGAGTACCCTAACCCTTCTCCCCCCTCCCAGAAGCTGTGTCACGGTGGCTGTCCAGTTCGTTCTGTTAACATTGATAATTATGCTTTATTATGCCCTATGGAACTTGAAAAAATTACTTGAAAACAACAAAATCACAGCTTCTTGTCCAACAAAATACTTTGCAAGCATTGCATCAAACATTCCCGGGCATATCTAATCAGACAAAATCGAACCAAAATTCAACCAAACACCAATCATTCAATTGGGTTCAGTAATTGAATATCTATTTTGCTGCAGTGAGTTTGATTATTGAACCATTGAACAAAATCAAATGCAATTGAACTCAATCTGATTCAATCTTGTTTGGAATCCATTTCTCGTTTGCACGCTCAAGATGTCCTAACTGGCCTCTAGTATTAGTCATTTTAAATGCTCCTTCCTTTGGAACCCATCTTCTTAAAAATACTCTCTACCAAATCAACTCTAAAACGACATTCTTGATACCCTTTTACAGCACATATAATTTTGATACGCACAGTCTCCTCCAAGGTCTCCTGGATGTAACTTCGGGTTCTTGACACTCTCGATATTTCATTTCGGGTTCACTGAAAACTAGCTGTAATTCGACCTTCAGTAGAAATTTTGTCTAACCACGTGACTATTATGGGGTATTATGCAGATGTGACAATCATCCTATGAAATCGCTAACAAAGGATTCAGGGGGATAAGGGGGATGGTTCAGCGTACAAAATTTCCGCAAAATATACACTTGTTTGATAATAGGGGTAATATTCGAGGTTTATTTGATTACTTCGTTTTTTTATCGGTGTTAATATTTAAACATAAAAATCAAACAAACAGGAGTTTGGTAATCGCACGTTTGATTGAGTATGTCATGGTTCAAATTTTTTTGGTTTCAATGTTTTTGAACCAGTTTAAATTTTTCGAACTAGCTTAAAATTTCCAAAACTAGCTTAAAATTTTTAAACTGGGTAGAAATTTTCAAACTGGGTAGTTTTAATCCTCTTCAAGATTGTTAATCCATGCCTTATTTTTGCATTTGTTGCATTATTACAGAGTTGATCATATTGGCCTGAACACCTAAAATATGTCTGGAATGTTTATTGTGATGTAACCAATCACAGACGAGATCATCACACCACAGAAACCACAGGCAACGAACGGTTTCCTATCTGTCACAGAACAAATTATTTTCATTTTGTTTTAACATTCAGTCTTTTTACAAGTAAACAATTGCTTTTCCTTCCTATTTGTTTACAGTATTTGCTATAATAGCGAAGAATACAGGTTTGAGCGATTTTGAAATAAATTACAAAGCCGATGT